CAAAATGAGGTTTAATCTGGTCTTCAAGAAGATTGCGTTCATTGTTTTTGACCAATTCCAAGCAATCTAATTGGCCCAAAATGTACTCAATATCTGATTGAGTTTCAGTCTTAAAAGAGGAAGTTACTAGTTGCTTCATATCCAAGTGATTGGCCATAAATTATCACGCTTAGTGAGCAAAGTGAGTTAAGATTTAGGCAAGCATTCAATTGACAAAATACATTATTTCAATCTATGGCGTAGAATTCCCAATCCTTTAAAAAAGACTTAAGTTTTGTCTTGCCTACGAATCGTCAGCTTCCTCAGAAGAATTAGAACCATCTGTTTTCTGGCTAAAAGTAAATACATGAATAGAGAAACTGAGTTATGTGAGCGTCGAGGCGAAGCACAATGATCGAGTTTAATGTTAGGTTTCGAAATGTATTCAAGTAAAATGTAGCTTAACGACAGAAAGTCAAACGCACAGACGTGTTTTTTTTCTGTGTTGATACATACAGCTAACTGCACAGCATATGATACCTGAACTGTAAGAGTTAGAGTGCCCGGAGCTTTGATCATTTCCTCGGTTGCTCGGCGGTCTTTGGCCATTGCTTGCAATGCTGCGAGCGCCAGCTCGAGCATGTCGTCCAAGCGAACGCCCTCGACGTAGCTGAGTTCTGAGAGTCTGGAAACGATGCTGCCACGTTGTCTGGCAGAAGCTTCGACAGCGCTGTGTGCGCGTTGCAATATCCGAACCAGCTGAATGGTGACATTCAGAGATCTACAAGAAAAAAAATGAAATAAGTTCATAGAAAACTGACTGCAATAAGTTGTGAAACTTGGAAAGAACCTCCACAGTCATGTCACACCAAGTTATCCATTTAAGAGGCCAATTCACTTCTGAAGCCACCCACTAGTTGAGATTCTGGACAATCAGGCATGCATGCTATTGAAAATGAAAACTCACACCGCGAAGCAGGGCAAACATGTCGGTCCTTTGTGATGGCAGATTGCACTTTGATGACGAATAGAAAAAGGTATAGGACTGTACCAGAAGAAGAACTCGATAAAAATGAAAAAAGCAACATAACACATTTGTTGGAATAACAATGAATGTAGAGATAAAGATTCTCTGGATGGCTCGAAACGACGATAAAATGTCTCGAGGAGCATTTTCAAGTTGCACCTAAAGGTCCTGGAAGGCAGATAAGCCTGGCTAAAATCAGTTTTCATCTCGCTTTGATCGAGAGAAAGATGCGCCATACAGGATGTATGAATAAAAAGTGAAGTTAATTCATTTCATCTTGGGACGACATTATTATCTTTTCTGGTAAGCTAAAAGAGATAAATCTGTTAAAAAAGTGAAAGCATAAGAAATTGGTCAATAGAGGCCGATTAAGGTGAGGTGAAGACTGATGGCCTGAAAATACCATTAAAGTTCACTTAGTCTTCTCTCGTAAACAATTTATGTGGGAAAATGTAAGTAATTTTTTAATGTATCATTGTGGAAAAGTCCATCGCCAGTCCCTAAGTCACCTGTGGCAATCTAGGTTAAGTTTTTATACATAAATTATTGATCGTTTCGAAGTATACTCATGACAAAGATAAGCGACGACGTTGAATGCAACGTAATGTAATATATTAGGTAACCACGTCAATCTTCGTATCCATAATCTATCCATATCACAGAGGGAGTTTAGGAAACCCACTTTATCTGAATAAAAGTAAAGTAGTGAGTTTAAATGGTACAATGCAAGTTGCATCATCGCCATTCCCACAACAAAATGTGATGCGAGAGAGGCTTAATATTGAAAAGAAGTTGTTTGACCTTGTTTTCGCAACTCGGTCATATTGGTAGGAAGACTTAAAGAAACGCAC